AAATCAAATCCTAAGAAAAAATAAACGAAAATAATGATAAAACAAACGATAAAAAAGATTTAAAAAAATGTCAAAAGATAGAGAAAACGTGTTATAAAGACAAAATAATGAAAATACTTCAAAAAGAAAAAGTTGTGGTGACTGTTTGAAAAAATACGTGGCGTATAATCTGTTTGTAAATCTCCAAAAAGATAACGAAGTGGGCTTTTTTTATCGACAAAATAATAGTGCGTTGTTATTTTTAAAAAGTATCCCTTCCATCCATCCTTTATATTTTTATCTTTAATTTCTTTAATAAAGGTTGTAATGTATTTTATTTTTGGCTTTAATCAATTGAATAATACAATCAAAATAACTCAATTAGTTTTTCACATTTAATATCATTGTTTTTAAACGAGAAAGATTATGTCGATTGTATATGTTTTTTATGTAAATTTATACGGTAAATTACACAGATGGTGTAACACCCCCAACCCGTATCAGACATGGATCCGAGTCTGAGGTGTCACATTGATTTTTAAAGCATTTACTTGTATAAAATAGTGAGTAATTTAAAAACTTTTATAACATATAACTTATTCAAAACGTTTACAGAACTATTCAGAGCTTATACAATTCAAATATTTTAAATACATGCCAACTAGACTTTTATACCATAAAATACATTTAAATCATCTATTTTCTGATCTGAAACTTTGTAAGGAAAAATGCTGACCTGACTTACACCTCAACAATCCATAAGCTTGTAAGAACCTGCGTGTGAAACACTCACACGCTAAGTCTATGACTTAGTGAGGCGAATAAATATATAATGTAAACTCTAACTTGTAATCATGCAGGAACAACTATTATTATCATATCATACACATCATATCAAATCATCTCACTCATATGCTTTTCATATAACAATTACATACATATCATCATTTATGTTTTTATCTTGCTCCTATACTATTATACTTCATATATCTTATTTCTTATTCATATGATCTCTTACATTCATATTCTATAACTTATACAAATTCTTATATCATCATATAAGTCATTTATACTCACTCATATACATCAACATATTCATGTAACAGATACAATAACCCATATCACACATATATCATATCATGCAATTCATATACATATATCACATACATTGATTTCACAATTATCTCTTTATTAGCCCATGTACACATGTGAAAACTGTAGATATGTGAGTCTATTGAGGTTGTGCACTATGATGTCACCATAGCTCGTATAATTCCCACTAGGGGCGCGTAAATTTGTCCTGAAGGACCACGTAGATGTCCCAAAGGACTACATATAACACATATGTCCCGAATGACCACTATGTCCCAAAGGACCACTATGTCCCGAAGGACCGCGTAGACCCTCGACTCTTGGCATGCCAACTATACCTCTAGCTCTCCTAGCACTTACATGGGCATTCTCTTTTATATCGTTTCACATAGTCATATCTCATATGCTCATAGCTTTTATCATATCATTTCTCATATTCATATAATAATATGATTCACTTTCAAGTATCACATATACACATTCATATCACATGTTCTTATAAACTCATAACTTCTTTCACATGTACCTGTAATTAGGTAGCTTCTTTTCACGTAGTTCATGTCACTTTTCATATCATTCATTTATCACATACATAATATCTATCATATATACATTTCTTCACTTATCTCATAGTTATGTATCATATTACATAATTTAACTTATATCATATTATCATGTGTGCATATATCATGGACAATTAACATGTATCATATAAACATTTATTCACTCATATCATTAACATATGTAACAATCAATAACACACACATAACATGTCAAATATATGCTCATATTAATGAATTCATGCATTCTACTATAGGAAATAGACTTGTCACAAGTCTTATTTCCATTAATACATAATACACTATCTAATGTGCACTCACCTTAGCCTCACTACGTTCTAATACACTTTATGATTTTCCTCTCTTTCGATCGAATCTTAACTTGCCAATCGACCCGGACTTGTTTGTGCTTGATATCTATATAATCATACATTGATACATATAAGTATCCAATTGATATACACTAATCTATCATTTCTTAGACCAAAAGAAATGTCTATTTCAATTTCCCCTTGAAGTGCATCGATGCATTCTACAGTGCATCGATGCATTCTTTAACATGTGCATCGATGCACTATCCATGTATCGATACACAAATTACCTTCGATGTTTTCATTTTTAAAGGGATGCACTCCTTATGCATCGATGCACTAATTGCATTCGATGTTTCTTCTTTAAAGAGTGCATCGATGCACATTCAATGTACATCGATACACCTTGCCCATAATTTGCATTTTAAGCCCGAAAATCCATTTAATTCAACTCAAATGCTTCATATTTCATCCCCTTTCATATTCCTAACTTACATATACATATTTGCACTCATTTCTACTCAATAATCACTCCTTTAACCTCCATATCCTATTCTCTTTAAGAAATTCAAGAATCATACCCAAATTTTAACATATTACAAATCTAATTCTAACACTTCATACATGTTAATTAGATTGATGACAAGTCAAATTCACTCTAAAACCTCAATAAAGAACTCTCTTTCAAGATTTCACTTATTCCTCTCTTTTCTTTAATTCCCTCTATTATCTTCATCTTATTGTTTCAAGATAATTTAAGCTCTTCTTATGCTTAATTATCACCTAATAATCAAAACTCAATCTTAAATTTCAGCTAATAATCAACAATAAGAAATCTTACCTTTGCTTGAGCTCTCACGTGGAGGAGGAATAAGAAGGGAGAAGAGTTTTCTAGATAACTCTCCCCACAAGTTTATCTCTTAATAAAGAGATAAGATAATTATCTTTAGATAACAAAGACCATTTTCCCTTAATCTCCTTTAATAATTACTAATAACTTTCAGGAAATATCTCCACATGAATCATTGAACTATTCAACTTTTCTACTTTTATCCCTAAATTATGAAATTTTACAATTTAGTCACTAACCCGATATTGAGAATGTTACAGATGGTCCTTATATTTTCTAGTTATTTGATTTTAGTCTTTTAATCTCTTATGTTATAAGCTCGTTTGATTTTGATCTCTCGATTGTTAACTTATGTTAACTCAATAACAAAAGTCTAATTTTACATTTAAAAAGTGGGGAAAAAACGATATGAGTGACCGACTGTAATACGTGTAAGACTTAAAATTTGTTTAATTTTTTATACAAATTCCGTGCCTCCTCCTCCTTCTTGGTGTTACTTTTCTGGAATTTTACCTCGACATGATCTCTATTGAGCTGTGTGCATGCCGACGATCAAGGCAACACCGTGGTCCGATCTTTTCGGTCACCTCTCCCATCCTTGTTTCCTCCACTAGTGGCAATTTGGTTGTTTGGGTTTAGGATTACCGTGGGCTGGTCTTATGTGGGTTCGTTCTAGGCCTCTTTCTTTCATCTTGTATTTCTTTGGGCTCTGAGCCCTTACTATTGATGGTGTCTTAGGATAAATTATTTCTAAGATCACGAAATTAAGAGATCGGTCCTATTTGGATCATCGAGTAAAATTAAATTTTAATTATATTATTCAATTTTTATTATTCTTTCAACCAATCGACTATTAATTGATAACAAGATTATTGATGTAATAATTAAATATATTTATATAATAACAATTTAATTATTATTATTTTTACGTTCTATAATTTTGTCATAATTTTAATTAATAAACTTAATATTTCAATAAAATAGTAAAATAAAATAATATATGTCATCATCCTCTTAATGAAAAATAAAAAATAAGATGAAATCGAAGGATCTAAACTTGTGATCTAAAGATAATAGGCACATTCAGTCACTGCATAAAAATATATTTTTTTATTTCATTGTCGTGAATGAATTATATTCAGGTTGAACTGTAATTGATATAAGTTTTTTTCTTTCAAAATTTTAATCTACCACGTAATTAAAAATTTAATAATCTAAGTGACTATTCTTTTATTTATTAATCAAAATAAAATCAATTACATAATTTAATGATATTAATTTTTTGATATAACTATTAATATTCGATTTATTGATCAATTAATCTGGATCGAGTACTGCAAAAGCAAGGAGAATTCTCCTAACCCAATTTTCTTTATACATAAACGTCAAAATTTAAACTCTTAACTTTACTTAAAAAATCTAATATTTTTTCTCGTTAGACCAATTGATTGTTAATATAATTTGATGATGTTATAAAATATTTTTTTTATAATAAAAACAATTTTAATTAAAAATAAAAATATTCTTTGGATATATGCTATATTTGAATTTTTTCATTAATAATATAATAATTTATATATTAAAAATAATCATAAATAAAAATATGAAAAAAAAAAAAGGAAAATCAAATTAAATAATATTATCTACTGAACGCATCATCAAATTGCTCGCAATTCCGAATGAAAAAACTCATTACGTGCGTTTAGCTACGTCACGTCATACAAATTCCCCAGATGTGGGCCCCCTTGTTGGCGCGCGCAGATTGTTGAATCCCCGAAGAAAAGGGATCCTTCTGAAATACGACGTTTTAATATGTGATTAACGAAAGGTATTATAGAAAATATTATTATTTTTAATATTTTGGTAAAATGTTATTTAAAATGTTATTTTTAATAATAATTTTTATAGAATTTAATATTAATATTTTGGGTAGAAAAATAATATTTTAGATAACGTTTTATTAAAAATGTTAAATATTTTAAGTAACATTTAATATTAATATTTTTGATAAAAAAAATTAGATAGCATTTCATCAAAAATATTAAAAAAAGTTAATATATTAATACTGTTATATTTGAAATATGCCCAAGGAAAGGGAGAACAAACAAAAACAGGAAAACAATTGGTCTGATATCTCAGTTGAAGTGGCGTGTTGGTAAATAAAAAGGACAGAAGAGGGCAGTTCGGTAATAAGGCGAAGGACTTTCAGTTCCTAACTGACAGCTGCTACAAGGGAAAGGGAAACAAAAAAACTAAACCAAACAAACCTCCCTTTTATTCGGTCGTCGTCGTTCTTCTTCACAATTTGGTCTGAAACGACACAGTATCAGTTCGTTGCATTAGTTGCTAAATGGCTGATTCAGAGGTAAAGTAACTCCACTACCTTTCTGCATAATATAGTTTTTGTTTTTTAAAGAATGAATTTTGAATATTTTTTGTTTCTGTTTTGTCTGTTTTAGTTTTTGGTTTTTTTTAAGAACGAGTTGATTTTGTTCTTTGATGTGGGTTCCCTTTGGTGATTTCTTGGTATTTTGTGTTTTGAACAGAAATTGACGGTTTGAAAAAGGCTTATGCCGAAATAATTTTGAACACGGCTAAAGAGGCGTCGGCGAGGATAATGGTGTCGGAAAGGAAGGCTCGCCGGTACCAGCAGGAGCTGTTCGCGGCCAAAGACGAGGCATTGCATGTGTTGGTTAGGTTGAAACAGATGTTGGATCTAACGTAGCGGTTTGGTCTTTGTTTCTGTTATTTTTGTTTGTCTGATAATGTTTCGGAGCCGATGTTATAATTTCGTTTCGCTAATTGTCTTGCTAATGTCGGTTTCATCCGGATATTTGTTTGTTTGGTGGTTGATGTTTGATCGCTTTATTTGGTTGCCTTTTGTTTCAATTTGTCTAGTTGATTGCATTGCATTAAATATGTTATGCTAATTCATCTATTTGATTAGATTGCTTATCGTTCCAACATTATGAATGTTACACATGGCATAGGGAGCTCGAAAGAATGCAATTTATGAATCGGAATTGCCTTTTCGTTATAGACTGTTTTCTGTTAACAATTCTCTTTGCTTTGCGCATAAGAACCGACCAACGCCCTTGTTAAAGTAGGGAGCATAAGGGCTATTAGTTAAAGTAGATTCAAGAAGATAATAGGTATTGTTTCTTTCTTATCTTATATTGGAGATCGGTTTGTTATGTATCTTGTTCCCCATCACTCAAACTCAACTGTTACTGTAGGAGACATCCGACACAGATAAGCTCAAACCTTTATACATGAATAGTCGGTCCATCAAGCCAATTCTTACAGTACTTGCTGTCCGTGCCATGATTGTAGGTTAATGAAGCGGAGATGATGTCCTTGAATCAACAGAAAAGAATTAAAGAGCTTGAAGCACAACTAGGTGAAGCTGAGGATATAGTTAGAGATCTTAGAGCAGAGTTGAGAGAAGCACAAGATGAGTTGGAGAGGCTGACCAAAAATCCGATGCGGTGTTTGGGTGAACAAAAACAGAACATGATGTTGCTGCTTGTGAGAAAATGTCGAATGGAAATTCAATCAGCAATTCCGAGTCTGTCATATCTTCTCAACTCGGTATACAAACTGACATCGTGACAGTTTCTGACATCAAGAGTTCAACAAATTTGGGTATTAAGTGTTCTTGTAAGGACAATTGCTACGCTTGTAACCCTGATTTCGCATCCATAGTAATGAGACGGAAAGAGCCTGATCTGTATAGAAATGGGTGCACTCAGAGGATTCGTGCACTCAAAAGGTGTCTGTGAAAGAAAATTCATCTCTTTCTGGGCAAATAGATGATGCAAAGAACGAAGACCCTATAGAACATGAAGAAGGGAAGGATATGACCTTAAAAGTTTCTCGACCCGACGAAAATATTGATGAGTTCAAAGCGATGCAAACTGATGTTCATAACAACATTCAATCACTTCCCATTAGTCCTTTTTATAGGAAAAGGAAAAGAGCTGCTAGATATAAGAAAAATAGAGCTCCCTCGCCTATGGATATGTCTGATCAGGTTGTAGCAACATGCCGAGAATCTAATCAACCGTGCCCTGAAGGTTTTTCACATGCTGCTGATGAGAATGCTCGATTGGGGGAAGATTCTAGGATCAGCAATCATGATGCTTCACAGGGTTCTCGTTATCCTTCCATCCCTGGTTCACTTTCAAGTGTAGTGGAAGTAGTTACTGAATCGGAATATGAAAAAGTTGACAAGGATGATTCAGAGTTTGTGAAAGCTTGTGATCTCCGTAATGGCAAAGACAATGATAAATTGCTGACAGACAAAAAAGAGTTGACAGGTCCGGACAGTGGATCCACTGAGAATTTAGGGTTGCATCTTGCAAACTGGAGCTCGAGACGGTTGACTTCTCTGCTGTAAACTTGAAGTTAAAGTGTCTGAAGTAACTGAAGGGTCCTCAACTGGTAAATAATAAGTTTCTCATGTACACTTTCAAAAGAAAGCGGAAGAAGGATTCTTTGAGCAGCCCTAACAGAGATTGCTCACTTCGAGGACACTTCTAAAATGAAGACGGAGGATAAACAAAATGGTTCTCTAGACTCCGAAAAATCAACAGTGACAGCTGAATCATCTCGAGACAGTCAGCGACTAGCACAGGTGGCTCGCCAGGTTGGTTATCGATTGTCATCAGTGCTTCTTTACATATTATATTTAATGGGGATGTTGCCAGTTGTCACACTTTTAATTCTTACCACTTCTACTTAACATAAAGGACATTTTTCTCTGTTTTTGTAAGCAAGTTGGTTTCTTAGAGACTTACAGAACAACTGGTAGGTCAATTTGGGGTCTTTGGGTATTTACCTGTGTCGATTAAAACAAAGTTCCGAACTTCCTGCATCTTCCTTAACATTGAGTCACATAGACGGATCTGTTATTATCTCCAGTGTGCACGTGTTAGCATGTCGCATGCAAAATTCTTGAGCTGCATTCTTCTTTGATTTCTGTTCAGAAAAGCTACAGTTGGTTTCATTTACCATAATGCCAAATATTTGTCTGTCGTGATCTCTTTTGCAGCTCATGTCGTTATCGGAAAAGAAGTGGCGGTAGCAGATTTGGGCGTTCGGTGCATGAAACACAGGAATGCTGAACAGACGCAGCTAAAATTGGTGCAGCCTCGTTGTCTCTGATGGCATATATTCATCAAAAGTCAACAACGTCGGTGTATGTGTTTTGGTGCTGTTTTGATGGAATATATCAACATCCAACTCTTTTGAATCAGCTTTACTAGTTGCTATATTTGATCACTGCTCTTGGTTCCCCTCCTTGTACGGCATGGTTAGGGATTTTGCACCGATTTGCTCGGACGGGCGAGTATATCGAGTTGGTTCCGATAAGTGCTTGTTCCGTTCTGTTATATTCCGTCTATCATTTGAAATTACCTTTTCGATCACTGTTAGTAAGCAGTAAATTACTTACCATGTTTAAGTTAGTATGTCAATAAGATGATAATACATATTATCACCTTATTTAATTTTCATTAATTTGTTAAATAAATTTCTAAACACTTGTAAAATTTAATATAAAAAAATAACATTTTAATTTTTTAACTCTTAATTTTTAAATTTAGTGAATAACATCTAACTCAATAAAATATATAAAAATAAAAAATCAAATCAATATCTTTATTTATCCATATAATTTCTCTTTTTAGAATGCCCACTTTAAAATGAAATAAAAACTATCCACTTATTCTGAGAATTCCACTGTTTTCTGAAATTTACTCAAAATATCTAAGATGCACATCATGTAATTATTCTATTTAAATATTTTATTACATATTAGTGGTGGAGTTGTTTTTCCTCACAAAAAATATTAATTTATCGCATTTCGATAGATATTATACACTATTTAGTTTTAGGCAAAATATATTATATATCACTAGACGACATATCATTTATACTATTAAACTTTTAATTATTTTAATTATAATATTGAATTTTTATTTTAGTTTCAATTATATTACTTGATCGTCAACTCGATAACGACATGATGATATAGAAAACGGTTGTCGATGTTGATGTCACACACATAGATTATTTTAATGCCTAAGATGATATCATTTTAGTGTGACATCCAATTAATAGTCGTCGTCCACATCAATGCATCATTACCAAATTAATAACTTAGTGGTATAATTGAAATAAAAAATAAAAAATTAGTGGTGTAATTGAAATAATTGAAATTTAATGGTATGAACGACATAATCTCTAAAATCGAATGGTATTGATGAGTTTACCCTTAGTTTTATAGCAACATAAAAAATTACAAGAACATCTGAGATTACGCGAAGGAATAGTAAATATATACTATTTTTAGAGAGAAACACTGAGAAAAAGGAAAGGTGACAAAAGAAAAGGCCTTTCCACCTGAAGAAAGGAAAAATTCGATTCCTCTCTAACTCTCTAAACCATGAGTCTCTTCGGTCTGGGCAGGTAACTCAAAATTTTCACCTATTTTCTTTTCTCTTTAATATTAATTAATTATTGTTATTATCGTTTGATTCCATGCATGCTTTGCTAGATTATGTTAGATCCGTTGTAATCATATTGCCTTTTTTCCTGATTTAAGATCAGCGATCAACTCATCTTGTTCGCCGTCATTATGTTTATTTAAATTTCTGGAAAAAAGAAAAATTTAAGCCTTGATTTGTTGGGTGAAAGAATGGAAAGATGGAGGGAGGAAATAAAAAAAATGAAAAGGAAATAAATTTTGAGTGTGTTTGGTAGTAAAGAAAATCGAGAAGAAAGAAAATGTGAATTAGCTCAAAATATGAGATAAAATGTGACACATAGATGAATTAGTTCAAAATATTTATTTTTCAAAGCTTAATTTTATTTATCATATCTTTTTAGTGCTACCAAGCAATGAAGAGAAAGAAAATACAATTTTCTTTCAGTTTTTTCATCCTTCCTAATGGAAGAAAGAGAATTTTAATTTTCTATCTTTCTACTTTTCTACCCTTCTAATTCTCCATCCTTTCAATTTTATTTCCACTCTACCAAACTAAGTGTTAATCTTCCTAATTTGCCTTCTGGCCCCTTTATTTATCTGGTACCATTATCTGCAATCCTATTGCTTTCTTCGAGCAATTGGCTGTTTTTAGGTGATCTTTCGATTATTATAGATTCTCAAAGATTCTTGACTTATAACAGGTTAATCACGTCGATCATTAATTGAAAGTTGAATTAACTAGGAGAAAATTAATAGGAACAAGTATAGTAGTCTACGAGAAACTAATTAGTTTTTTCAAAAATACTTAGTAATCAGGTTGAATGAATGCTTAAGATTTTCCATAGTTTTCAGTTGTACAGGATATCTGCGTACATGCTTTATGTGTGATTAGTATTTCAAGCCATAAAAAATAGTGTTTTTTTCCCAATTCTTGTAAATGTTGTTTTTCTATTTTGTTAAAAATCAATTTGATACTCTGCTTAGTTTGAATGCCTCTGAACTATGCTGCTTTGAATCTTTATCCTAATTTATCATGCTATACACTTATGAAATACCTTCAATGTACGCAAGCTTTTTTTATATCCTATGACACAAATTTTGACAAATTGAACTTACCTATGTTGGATGTGTGTATTTCTTACTGCCACTCCCATGCCTGAGCAGTATAGCTGTTAACCATTTATGTATCTTCTCGGTTAACAATTTTCCTGATAATAGATTGCTCTAAAAACAGAAATCAGCGAACATTTCGCCCCAAAAAAAGTGCACCCTCAGGAAGTAAGGTTGGTTATTTTTGTTCCTTTTTCTAATAAAAAATAATTAATATTGTTCATCTCTGCTTGTTCTCTCTTATTGCGCTTGAATCTGTTGGATTGTTCATGTGACCACCTTTCCAATTATTCCCCTTGGTAAATAAATTGTTTCCATTTTTTTTACCAAGAATTTCTTGAGTGTGAATTTGCAACTTTAGCACGCTGGAAGTATGCTATAAATTGTTCAGAAACAGAAACAAAAAGAAAACAAGCACAACTTAACCGCTAAAGATCTAGTGCATCAAAAATCATAAAAACAAAAGACACTGGAAAGTTGGCTTTATTTGCAAAGAAAACTAAGAGAAGCTCTAGAATCCTCAATTTAATTGCTTTCTGGCCCTTTTACATCTTGGCATTTTAGCTACTTAAATGGTTTCCATTAATTCTGCAACTTTTGTTTATATTTGTAAAGCAAGAATTCACTTAACTTCTATTTGAAGATTTTCATTTCTTTTGAAGTCACTTGTTCAAGAAATAAGTTTAAGTTATGATGCTATACTTAAAAAAACTACAGATTTCAATGCTCTGCTGACATGCATGACGGTCCTACAGCGTCACCTGTTCGACCAACTCATGGACATTTGAGGGCCTTGTATACGCATGCTATATGTGGTATTTTTTTTTACTAATTTTGGATCTGCCTCTAAACATGGTTGGTTCTGCTGGGTGTTGAGCTTCACAATGAATGTATAACCTTTTAGAGGTTTCTCTCCATTTCTTCACAGCTGGCTTCTTTATAATGCTTTTATATAAATATTTTCTGGACTTCATTCTGCTATATTAGTGGCTTAGAAGAATTTGTAATTCTCATCCAAATACTGTAATGATGTAATGCAGGGTGCACAGCTTAAGCAGCACATTGATTCTACCCTGGGCAGTGGAAACCTAAGGGAAGCAGTAAGGCTACCTCCTGGGGAGGATTTAAATGAATGGCTCGCCGTCAACAGTATCTCTTGTTCCCTCTCTTTCTTTCTTTCTTACTTGCACACGCCTGCAAAAATTCAGAATAATTCCTGATAGATGTATTTTTCTAAAGCTGTATGTGTATTATCCATGAATATTCGAATTGTGTGGCCATGCTGTAAGTTACTTTCATAACTTCTAATTTAATTAGCTGAACTTTTATAGAATGTTTTTAGTACATTTTCTTTCCAGACTTTAGGCCACTGTCTGCTTTCTTTGAAACTCGTTGCTTAAATATAATTGTTGGATCTTTTTCAGCTGTAGATTTCTTCAATCAGGTGAATCTGCTCTATGGTACCCTTACAGAGTTTTGTACCGCTGAGAACTGTCCTACAATGACTGCAGGCCCTAAGTATGACATATCAAACCAGATTCTTTTTGCCCTTCTCAACATATTAAATCGTACAAATCCTAAATCTTAAAATTTTCATCATGATGCCGGTATGACTCGTCATGTTTGGTTCTGTTGATGATATCAAAAGTATTTCTATCAAATGATGAATGCTTTTGAGTCTTCAAAGAATCAAGATAACTGGGACTCCTTAGATCTGAATTCAAGGCTCTTTATCGCTTTAAACATACACAAATATTGCATTAGTTTAGTTTCAGTAATAAAAGAGTATCTTGCTAAATTATGAAGTCAGAATATATAATATAATATAATATTGCCTGATAAGTGTGGGATGATGATGATCGGATTTATTTATTGTTGAAAAGACATCAAATCTGTTGCAGCTAGAATTGTTCTAAGAATCAAAGCTCTTGTAGTCATTTGATTCTGTCCAATTATGTCAACTTGTGCAGAATGTAACAATGAAACTTGTATCTTCCTCCCCATCGTCTGCATTTTTTGTTTGTTTTCATGTTTGGTTCATTGATATCTACTTTTTAAAATTCTTCCAAAGGGGATATCTTGGTTTTTCTGGAGTTTGATTATTTGCTGCCTGACGAAACTTTATAGGTATGAATATAGATGGGCAGATGGTGTGCAGATCAAGAAACCTATTGAGGTTTCTGCCCCAAAATACGTCGAATATTTAATGGACTGGATCGAATCGCAGCTTGATGATGAATCCATTTTTCCTCAAAAGCTTGGTAAAATGTTCATCGTTAATGCGCTTAATCATCTTTAATTCTTTGCGATGAAGTATGAAATACCTGTCATCTAGAGAAAGTATATCTATGTACGATGACAACGTGTCGATTAACATATTTCCTAACATCTATACTTTGTCCAAAATTCTCTGTTCTGTCTATGCTAAATGCTTTGCCTATGTTTTAACTGTATATTCTGAATTCGATAGGTGCACCGTTCCCTCCCAACTTCAAGGAGGTCGTCAAAACAATATTCAAAAGACTGTTCCGGGTATATGCTCACATCTATCACTCGCACTTCCAGAAAATTGTGAGCCTCAAGGAAGAAGCCCATTTGAACACATGCTTCAAGCACTTCATACTGTTTACTTCTGTAAGTTCTCATCTGCTTAATAGTTAATATTCCACCTGCTTATTTATTCTCGAAGCAGTAGCGTGCAAGGATCCGTTTGTTCGTTCATCAGATGCAAGAATATGCATAGTTGATTAGAAAGTTGTTGGTTTAATTCAGATTGCGGTTTTTTGCATCGGCAGGAATTCGGGCTGATCGACAAGAAAGAGCTAGCTCCTCTTCAGGAGCTCATTGAATCCATCATAGTCCCCAGCTAAATATATAGTGGCTGAGATCCTGAGAAGGATCTAAAAAATGGGTAAAGTTCGCTAGAGGTCATTTGATCTTTTTGAGTCAGCTACCTTTCAATGTTACAAAATGGTCATTAAAATTTATCAACTGTTACAATATAATCTTTAAACTTATCAAACTATTGAAAAATGTACTTCAACTTATCAAAATTTATTGCTACTTTTATGTTGCAAGGGATCATTTTGTAAACCGTTTAGGAAGTTTAATGACTATTTTGTAATATTTGAAAGATCGTTGACCAAAAAGATCATTTTTTACGTATTTCAATGACCTTTACTGTATTTTATCCAAAAAATAGGGATGCAAAAGTAATAAATGGCTGTTAAGTAAAAAAAAACCCAGTCATAGGCTTGAGACTTGAATCCTCACTCTATAAGAAGAGAAAACGCCATATGTAGAAGCTGCTAAACCGTATGATCCCAATAACAGCAACAATGATAGCCAGTAGAGCAGAGATGGAACTTGGCAGGCAACTGCTTATCTGTTGGATGGCTTTAAATTTTTAATTTATACAAGAAAATATTGATTTTATGACTCAAGTGTATGTTGGATGGTGTAATTTGAAGGTTTGAAGCTTCTTGATTATGGTTGTTGATTTACTTACATGTATCATGTGTCATTGGTTGATGTGATTATCAAATCTTAATCATGTTATTCATACACTAAAATACATAATTAAAAGTATGATTTAAAAAATATTTGAATGACCAAAACAGAAATTAAGTAATAGATGGGTGATCAAATAAATAGTTTACCCTAGAATTTAATTAGAAAAACATAATTTAATGATTAATTAACAACAATAGAGGTGCCGTTGAATGTCCGTCCAGCTCAGTTGGTATAGCGCAAGGCTCTTAATTTTATGGTCGTGGGATCGGATTGAGTCACACGGTGGGTAATTCATAATTCTGATTGCCGGAGGTCTTTCACGGAAGTTATTCTCAATCCGTTGGGTAACCTACTACCTTACCTCCCTCCAACCTATTACATATGAAAATAAGGTCAGTTAATTTTTTAATAGAGACGCCGGTTCAAGGTTTTTTTTTTCACATTTGAAAAATAAAATAAATCTAACTAGACAAGAACCCGTTATTGGGAGAGCAAGCTAAACCAAAACAGAAATCCCTGTTCTTTCATCTTCCTTTGTCTCAAGCACAGCGATTTCCAGTTTAGAAAGAAAAAGAAATGTTACCGTGAACAAGACGATTAAGAGAGAGAGAGAACAGAGAGATAATAACTAGCTAAACTGACCAGTGGCCACCTTAGCTAGGTCCACACCTAGTCTAGTCTAAATGCTATATTATATCAACGATTACCCACATTTGGCCACTAGCAGCAACCATGGTGGGGATTTTCTCCAGATTTTCTGTTGGCAGATCTGCCCATCGACGCTCCAAGAGTTCCCTCGTAAGATGTTTCCCTTTTTAGAATTTCATTTTAGCTGATTCTGTAAGAACTTTATTTATTTCTTTTTTTGGTATTGTTGGGTCTTTCTTCTTTTGGACGAGTCCATTAATGATTCATCGTTGATTGTTTTTTTATTGACCTGTTCATATGATCTGATTATTTGGTAATTTTGTTGCCTGAATTTTGGGTTTTCTTAATAAATTCAGTCATCATGTGCTTATGTGTAATTGGATGAATGCAGAGTGAAAGTGGTTCTGCAATTGAAACCTAGAAATTTATCAATTTGAGCAAACCCAGATTTCTTTTATTAATAATCTGTTTTGGGATAATCCGTGTATGGTTTTGGAATTTTGACTTCTTCCTGTTAATCAATTCATGTTGCTTGAATTTCTTGATTTTGCAGAGTAATTATTTTGAAAACTTGTTTCCGGTCCAAGTATCGAGTTCCTAGTATTAGCATCGAGTTGCTTTTACGATTTCGGTTTCCTCTCGATTAGTTTGCCTGATCTTGCTAAACCTTGATGTTTGCTTTTGCCTAGGATTGGAGTTGTTTATTTCTTGTTGCATATGACTGATGATTTCCCCATTCAAGGTGCAGGATGAAAGAGATGTTATGCCCCCAAATCCGGATGTAGCCACTGCAGCTGATGCTGCTAGTGCGACAGCCACTGCCCATGGAATTGAGGTAGCAGTTGAGTTTAAGCCGGTCGAACGTCCGATCGAGCCTTTGAACGGTGACCGAACGATTCAGTGCCCCCTACCTGAACCTTCAATTCTAAATGTAATCATCTGAGACTTCTTGCCTTTTGTGTCCAGCTTCGTAACCACATTCTTTACTATGGATTGCATTAGTTTAGGAAATGAAGTTAGCGATAGCTGAAGACTATTATTCTCGATACATTGAAATATGGCCCGGGTACCTATTAATGTAACCGCTGCTGTTGGCGGTGCGAGGAAAACGATTCCTTCGCGTCACTATTATGTAGTCTTATGATAAAAGAAGCCTTATTTTAGTCAATGAGATTCATATTATTTTCTGGTATGCATGGTTTATATAATGAAATGACAGTGTAGGTTCCCAAAGGCTGCCGACAATTGGCATCTTCATTCTTTTCGTATGCCAGTGGTCGGGAGTTGTACAAACCATTTCTTAAGAGTTTCTCTTTGATTTAAATCGAAGTTTCATATACTGCATTTCTGTCATCAGGATGGAAGAATCCGGTAGGAGCAAGTGTCGGCTAATGTAAGGAGAGTCGAGTTGCCGGTTATAAAGGACGGAGACACCACTGAATCTGAGGCTACCAGAATGAAACCATCTCTAAGTGCCCCGGAACATAACTTATTGAATCTCCTCCAAGAATGTAATGCGTCCGGGATCTAAAGCCTGCTATCGAATCTTGATTACAGTTCAACTCAGAATAATTTGCAGGTATATATATACCTTACAAGTACCGGACGAAATCTTCAATATTCGCATTAATGCCATTTGTCGACTGCCTTTCGGGTTCCCGAGAAATTGCTAATGTGCTTAGATATAGCTTTTTCTCTTCTTCGAATAAGTGCTTGGATGTAGTTATGTTGCAGGGATTTGAGGATGAACTGTTGTTTGCGATCCTTTGTTTTACCATAACAGCCCCAAAAGGGAAAGTACCATTTATTCCATCTGTAATGTGTTTTCTTCAAAAGCAAGCAATCAATGTTTCTTTGGATTTATCAGTTTCACGAGAACCCAAAGACTTCCGTTAATCATTCAAATTAGATATACTCCAATTAGATTTATAACTCGGTTGACATTATTATCAGTACAATATATATTAAATGTTGCAATCGAGTCATTGAATCAACTATAACTAATAAAACAAACATGGGTAAACTAGACGTTTACTACCTAAACTATTACTTTTGTTTTATGTTGACACCTAAATTTTTTTTTAAATTATATCTAAAGTTTAGTTTAGGTTTCAATTTGATATCCTGCTATTAAAAATTTAAGTGTGTTGTTGACGTGTCACCGGAAGGTAATGTTACGTCAACAATTGAGAAAAAATAAAAATATCACGTCAGCAGTTCTGTTAAATTTTTAACAGTGAGTACTAAATTGAAACCTAAACTAAAGATTAGATATAATTTTGAAAAAAAAGGTTTAGGTATCAAAACAAAACGAAAGTAATAGTTTAAGTACTAAATGTGCAATTTACCCAAGAAACATCCATAAGAATTGTTTACTCATTTCTGTTTGTAGGCAATTTCCTTTTCCCTATTCTTGTACTTGTTCGTGACTCATTTTAATCAATGTTTGGATGCTGTAGATCAGTTACATTTTATGGTTCGGAATTGGATTCAAGATCTAATGTCCACCAGAATTAAAATAATATTTCTGTCAAATGTCAATACGTTACATGCTTAAATCGATTACGACTGACATCTTAATTAGAAGAAAATGAATAATTATTGGACCTCCTAACACCAAACTTGTTATGAAACATAAAATTTGAACGAAGGTCAACATAATACACGTAATGTAAGAGTTGCCTGCGACTTCGGGTGCAATTGAACGGATGAGGGATTTTAAACTAGCTCCATGGCTGCGATAAAGCGACGCCTTCAGTCGATGCTCCAGCCCTTGTTTTCCATGTATGGCTGATTTGAGGACATTGTATTGCTCCGTCACAGACTTGTACAAAGCTAGCGTATATGCATCCTTAACCTGCACATTTACCGAATGTAAAGTCATCCGACCCCGTCTGCCGAACACGGATACTTCAATAAAAACGAAGTGTTCGAGTAACATAAGGTATATCATAATGTAACTCAATGCAACTGACCACTTCGGACTTTTCACCAGCAGCAGCGATTTCAGGGGCTACTGATAATCCAGTCCCATGAAAGCCTATGATTCTTCGTTCTCCGATTTCTTTTTCTACCTGAAAGGGAAAAATATCATCGAATCAAGGGAGAATACATAAATGTTTGTGACAGAAACCGACTAGTACACACCTGAGATGGAGGGGGCATGATGTCATGGCACAACAGCGCCAAGGGATACATGTGCCCTGGAGTACCTGAGCTTTCTATCAGCCTTCTCATATTGTCCACTGAAGAAGAATCAAAGGGCGCCTGATTCACACGCATAATAACTGTATTAATTCTTGAAAAACAACAGAAAGTGTTAAAAAGAAAGGCTGTAAGAACCTACTGGATACCATTCTCCCGTAACAGGATCCGGGCGGTCCCTGCCACCACTTGGTGCAATCCATACTAATTTCGAGCCAGTCCTATAACGAATACACAATTTCAGTCTAAGGTTTCATATTGTTCCTGTAAAAACCTCAATGCAGATTCAAGGTTGTTAATATGAAGATGGGACTAATGTACCTTAGCAGCATAGCCATCTCTTTTAAGCTTCGTACGTTTGCTTTTCTTTTCGTATCAGCAAGCTCGGGAACATCGTACATGTGCTTTTTGGAGTACACGCAGATGAGATTTCTAAAACGAATTTGGTATAACATTTTTTGTTAGTGGTTCTTGGCATAATCAAGTGAAAATCAGTAACCATCCGAGTACCTTCCCATGCTGAAAGGCTTGCAAAGAGGATCTGTTATGACTCTATCCCCTGCAACATAGATCTGCAGCATAGAACAGCAATTATGATTAATCATAGAGATAATGACTCCTACGGAATGCTCCGAATAGAATCTAATTTACGGGGACCATCACCAGGTTCTCGGCAATGTGCGGATTTGTTTTCTCAAGCAACAATGCAATGACGGCTGGGTCAGCTTCAGTTTGATGGTTCGAAATAAGTATAACATTGTGACCCTGCAAGTAGTTTAACAGTTACCCCCAATAAAGGCCATCTAAACAAAGAACATGTAAATCTCAATTTGTCAGAACAAAGAAAAATAAATCTTAGCTTTACTACCAAGCAGCAGTACAATGGATGAATCATATACGATATTTAATAGTATGTCATTTTAAATGTAAAATACGATAAGAACATTCTTCTGCATCTTTTGAAACAAATGATTGAGCAAAATTCAGTCATGTTTAGAAGAAACTATGAGGGGTAAAAGACTGAGTACTGTCACCTGCTTTAGCTTCTCCTCTATTTCATAGAAAAGAGAGAGATTACCAACGTATGAATTTCTGCAATGAACATAATAGATGCATGTTAAGAAAAGTAACAAATGCATCCTTGGGTAATTAGAATTTGGAAAATATAATTTTGAATACTAGGAATGACAATTAACAGGTTATGATGTAGTTGATAAGAATTAAATTGTATCTATAGGACAGGTAAAGTAATATGTTTCTGGGAAGAAGGGGAGTGAAATTATTGAAATATACAACGAATGAACCACCAGATAGAATACAAAATATAAGAAAAATATAAAACAATTTCAACCTTAGATTGTCTTCAAAGATATAATTAATCAACAATTTATATAACCTTACTTGTGACATTCATATATGTCCTAATCACTAACGTCAAAATCTAATGTATTGGTTCACAATAATAGAGTTATGAATAGAACAACTATATATTTCTTGACAAAACCATATTCAATTATCAGCGGAGTTTTCTGCAACCTAAATCAACATAACTAAAGAAACCACTATAACAAGACAGTGTGGTATTTGTCCACTCACCTGAAATCAATCAAATGTCGAATGTAATTTTGACCAAACTTGTAGTAGTCAAATGGCTCCCGCAAAGCTTTGTGGTAGGGTTGAAATACAAAAGGATCCTGAAAAGCTACTGTCATATTTTATGTAGAAGTTCATAAAAACTTATGATCCGAATGCTGAAAAAGGAAGTTCATAAAAGTTACAAACTGTAGATTCATCTTGAAAGAGCATTTTAGAACAGCTACCTCTACATCCAAAAGCACACGGTCAAGTGCAACAGCCATGTTCGACAACACAATTTCAGCAGCAGCTGGATCTCCACTTTGGAAAACCTAAATTTTGCCACATACGAAAAATTCTCTTTTCAGATACACAGGTAAAAGATACGCAAGATTGAAAAATAAAAGTTCACCGTGATTTTCGAAGGGCATAGATCGTGTACTAGGGAGAACATATCATATCTAGAGCATACATTAATGTGCAGTAAAGTTAGGAGTTTCAGTTTAGCAGTTTACGGCAATTTTATAATTCCGAAAGAATTCTTCCATTCCTGCTGCAACATTTGGTGGTAGCCTTCCTGCTTCTACTTCCTTCTTAATTCCAGATAGGACTTCTGTAGATAGATAAGCAGTATGAGTGAATAAATCAACCTCTAGTTTAGATTTCAACTATAGTGAACGTGTATACAAAGAACTGCCCCCCCCCCCCCCAATTTGTCTCCCTTCTTTATGTTGTGCTCAAAGAACTGCTCCATCTTATGTTGGAACCATCAAAACGTTATTCATTATATTTTCCAATAAAGATAGATGGTCTCCAGGTCTTGTTTCCTAAAGTCTAAAGTCTACTTACTTTCCTCGTTCATGATTGTTGTCGCATTAGACTTATCCTTAATCAGCATTTCAGGTTTCAGGTTTATATGAACCTTACTCTAGCTCCACTAATCTTTGTTATCTTTTCTCACTGTAGGTTTAGGAAACAAAGGTTATCAACTCAGGAATCCGAGATACATGCAGCATTCAACAATCAACACGATATGTTCACTGTCTATCTCAATTGAGTTAACAGAAATCTGAGGAAGTTGTGGCTTAACTTAAAATTTGGATTTTATGCAAAATTCTGTTTCAGTCTTCACACTAATTCACGCAGAATTGACAGAGTTTAGCTAAATGAGCTTTTCTAATACTCGATAATGTTCTTAATATTGTTGATGAATAAACAGCTCTTTTCAATATCAGAGCTTGTAGTCCAATAATTTCAAGCATCTTACTCTTAAGTAACATCCTTTTCATATGTTATTAAATCAAAAAAGACTCCTAAGCAAATTCTCGCATGAAACAATTTTCTGTGTGACTATTCACTTCGATGTTGCATATAAATTCGGCATCAAATTGTTTTACTCCAATCTTCTAGGAAAACCAAAAAAAAAATAAGTTTTTATTTTATAGCTTTTTTTATTCGGTGTTTATTTTATAGCTGCACGAACGTAATCCATAAGTATCAATTAAATTCTAAACCAGACCTTTCCTTAAGGGCGGCTTTTACGATGTAAGCAATTTAGATTTTCATAAATTTTCTATAATATAATAAACAGCAGTTTAGAAATCACGACATCTTTGCACAAATCAAATTAGAATATAACTTGTTCAACAAGAATTCTACGTTCGCAAGTGATATGACAAATTCCGTTTCAAACATCACAATCCATATTTAATTAATACTCCATATGTTTACCCTCCATTGATCCATTCTTCGGAATAAACAAGAAACAAAAGAAATCACGCAGATTTATTAACTGTAACGTTACAAATTGAGAAAAAAGAGCTTAAGCCTTAAAAAGAGAGCGAACCTTCTCAGAGCAAGCATCAAGGAACGTACGAGAATGCTCGACGTCCAGCTTGCCGCCTTCGGTGGTACCAGCGGCGGCGACGCCGGATTCCTTGTCTCTAACGAGCTCAGCCATTCCCTTAGCCGTGAAGAAGAGAGTTGCTTCGGCCGTAGATCTAAAGAGCTTCACTCGCTGCAAAGGAAGCAGCAACGAAGAATAAGGTTTGAATGAGAAGGAAAATGGAGGAGAACTAATGGAAATGTTGCTTGAGAATGGGAGAGGGGAAGCAGACATCAGACTTATGGCATTTTAAACCAAACATATTATATTATATTATATTATATTATATTATATTATATTATATTATATTATATTATATTATATTGTATTGTATTGTATTGTATTATATTGTATTGTATTGTATTGTATTATATTATATTATATTATATTATATTATATTATATTATATTATATATTATATTGTATTATATTGTATTGTATTGTATTGTATTATCACAGATCTAATGTTTTCATATATAATATATAGTTATGCAGCTTAGTATTGGGATCAACTATCATCTTAAGTCGTGTATTAATATTATATATAAGTTATTAATTCAGTCCATATATTTTAATTTAATCAATTTTAATTCTGATTTAAATGATATGCAGATAATATGATTAAATTACTTGAATTTAAAATAATTAAATTAAAGATAACAAATTAAAACTATAGATTATTCATGATAAAATAATGATAGTAAATTTTAATTTTAATAGATTTAAAAGATAATTTTTGGTCAGATTTAATTTTAAAATTTTATAATGTATTAAAATTGGAAATGATCAAGTTAGAGTATCATGGTTAAATATATAACTTGCAATTAGTACAGGGATTGATGGGAGAATTTGACCTTGGAGTTATGCTGACGTGTACCGTTTATGGATAGGAAGAAATCGTGACATCCAATGGTTACCTCTTTTTATTTATCTCTTCCACTGGATTTTTTCAGAAATTATCCCAAATTCAGATAAGAGTAAAGACTCTGCCAGTGGATTTATATTTTAAAAGAATTTATAAATTTATTTTTTTACCTAAAATTTTAGGTTTATCCATAAAATAATCAGTCCATCAATCTTGTGAAAGAAAAAAAATCATAATAATATTACATAGTACATTTTAATATGATTGACTAATAGAACAAGTACATTTGATCGGTTGATCAAATTGTTCATTTTAATTTCCTCATATTCCCTTATATCATACACTCGAAACTTATTAAGAACACTCATTTTTTTCCTAGAGTCTTCCTTCCCCTCTCCTCTAAATAAGATTAAGATTAAATTTATAATTTATAAAATAATGATGGATTAACATTAATTTGATTATTATTATTAGTATTATATTTAAGAATTAAAATATCATAACATTTATGTATATATAAATGTAATTATCTCATAAAAAATAGATGCATGAGATGTGTGATCTTTTGTTTCCCTTAAATGTTGGTGTTTTGAGAGTATTTTTCATGAAATGACTTTTGTATGTTCTCCCTTTTATATCATACGGTTAATTTAAAAAAATCAAAGAATTTGATGAATATAAAATTAATAGTATATTTATTAATTTTTATATCGATCTATATAATAATTATTATAATATTTATGAAGATGCAAATTCAAACACGATAATATATTTCGATTTGAAAATTCATAATAAATTTAATTTGAGTGTATCTCATCATATATAAATCAAAAACTTGAATTTGAAACATTCTTGTGCTTAGCTCAATTGAATCTCAAATTAAGTCAATGAACTTTAAGTACATAAAAATCTTATATTGTATTTAAAAAAACATATAAATATTAATATTGTTGATAATTAAATTTTAAAATTCAATATATTATTTTTTTCGAATTGTTCACGAGTTTTTCGAGTCGGATGTCAAGAAGTTGAGTTCGGTTTGTTAAAAATTTGAATCAATTCTATTTAATTTGAGTATTAACCAAATTTTAATCAAATCAAACTTAAATAACTCACGATTAATCTCGTCTCATTTACTATCTTAAATTACATACAATTTGGACTCTCTTGAATCTGCTATTCCATGGACGGCTGCCGGCAGTCCCAATAGATTAGGCCTTGTTTGTCTAAGCCCATTAAAATTCTAATAACAAGCTGCAATAATGCTGGTAGCTCAACATGCATGGTTTTCTTATCCGACAGATGCATGGAACTTGCAGCTTGTTTGGTCTTGAAATTAATAGCATTTATGTGATTTTCAAATTTCCTCCAACCAGGGGTGAGAATAGCCGGGCCGGCCTACAGGGGCCGGCTTGGCCTAGTTAATAAAAAGGTCAGGGTCGGACTTTTTAAAAGCCTATTAAATTAAATAGACTTGATTTGGATTTATTAAAAAGTTTTATAAGTTTGGTAGGCCGGCCTATTTAAAGTGATTACTTTGTAAAATACGTTAATTTAGAGTGACTTAATAGGGATTTTACTTAAAATTAATGACTAAACTGAAAATATTAAATGTTTATTATGAAACATGCTTTTAAACATGCCAGACTTTTAAACAAGCCAGGCCGAGCCCAAATAAAAACATTTGACAGGCTACAGGCCTACAAATATCATCGTAGGACAGGCTCAAACCTATTAAAGCCTGATGTGGCTTGACTTATTCCCACCCCTACCTCCAACCCCTCAAATTAAATAATTTTTCACTCAATCGTAAATAAATTAAAGATTAATTATAAGAATATTTATTTTTATTTCAATTTTGTTAATTATGGTTCATTGATTTTAAAAGATGCTATTTTGATCACTTATGTTATTGACTTGTTATATTTTAGGTTTAGACTAGATTTGTAGATTTTGAAGAATTTTTCGATGAATTGGATATGGAATTCGAGTTCAAGTGGCAAAAGATGAGTGAACTGAAAATTTTGAGATTTTACGATTGTCGACGATGACAAGCGATGATGACTAATGACGGTTGAAAGATGAGACTTTTGTTAGATTCATGAATCAAATTTATATTTTATCAAAAGTTTATAGGTTAAATTAATATTTCAATTAAAGTTTATAAATCAAATTAATATTTTATCTAAAATTCATTATCAAATTAAGAATGAATAATTTTATTAATATATTACATCATCAAATTAATGAGAGTTAACGAGTCAATGATTAAAATATAATAAATTGATGACGTAAATAGTTAAATGTATTTTTAAAAAATATTAATAAAAAGTAATAAAATAGTTTAAAATTTAACATAATTAATATAAATATTTATTGTAATATTGATTAATCTAGGATAAGTACAAGGTAATATTTGTTCAAATATAACTTTTAACTATTTGACATTAAACGCTCACACCCCTGATATTCATGGTGCTCAAACCTGAGACCTCAACGAACAAAATTCATTTACTGCCGAGGTCACTTGGTTTGTGCGAGTTTAAATATATTTAAATCGACGTTAATGATAAATCTAAGAAATATAAATTTAAAAGTTTTAGATAAATAAAAAAATTATTTATATATAATTGTCTTAATATAAAAAATTCAGACTATATTTTTTTCGTGTCTATATTTTTTCCGATCAATTTAAATGTCTAACGTTATCAAAATTATCATTTAGATGTCTTAATAGTAACATACATTAAAAAATTGATTATCTAACCCGTGTTAAGTTTATAAAATTTTTAATTTTAAACCCTTAAAATTTAAATATTATATTTAAAAAAATCTTAATTTTCTAAAATTACAAAAAAAAAAACAACAACAACAAATCCTTAACTCTAATTACATTTACTAATATCATATTTTTGTATGCCGCCTCCCTTGTTATCTCCTTTTTCTAGTCGTCGCTATGATTGTTACCTTTGTCATCAGGCACTAGGATGACGATGGATTTGAGTATTTATGATTTATGGATGTTAAGTTATAATTAAGATTTTACATTTTAATTTTCTCATTGTCATCATAAATGGAGGTTCGATCGACAATAACAATAATAGTATTAAGGTTCGATTGAGTGGTTGTTCATCGATAATAACGACAACCAACTTGGGTAAAAGAATTTCAAGTTAAGTTTTTTAAAATTTTAGAGTTTTTCAAGATTTGAGAAAAATTTAGATTTTTAAAAAATATAATTTTAAGGTTTTTATTTTAAATATAAATTTTATAAACACAACACGTGTCAGATGAATTTTTAACAGTCGTCACGGACGAGGCACCTAAATGATAATGTTAGACACCAAAATTGATCGAAAAATGTTTGAAGATCTTAAATATAAAAAAGATGAATAGTTTAGGTATTTTTTTATTTAAGCCTATATAATTTATGTAAAATTTAGATTCAATAATATTGTTTGTTTTACTCCTACGTCATAAACCTTATATTTTAAGATATACATGGGCGGAACACAAGTTGGACTAAAGGGACCATAGGCCCCCAAATTTAAAATTTTAAATTTGACCCTTAATTTAAAAAAAAAGCAATGCCCTTAAAATTTTTAGAAATTCAAATTATTATTAATTAAATCTCTCCCATAATTTTTTAAAAAAATCTCATTAGATGTCTCAAAATTTCAAAAATTATAGTTAGACCCTAATTTTTTAAAAAAAATATAAACTAAACCTTTCGAAATTTTTTAAAATTTTAAGTTGTCCCCTAAATTCTATCACCAAGTTTTGCTATTAGATCTATATTTTAGATCCTAAACATCAACACTATAAATCTTAAATAAAACGTACATTTAAATAATTAAGATTGTCAAATTTAAATTTTAATATCAAAATATTTTTCTAAACTAAATATCACATATTTATATATAGGAGTATATACTTAACACAAACTAATTGACAATGGGCGGAATAAGTGTAAGTTAAGGCTAAGCATATGTTCCATACTTGTGTTTGCATAACCAAGCAAAAGAAATTGCAAAATTACATTCCAAATATAAACCCAAAGTGTTCATACATTATATGTCCATTCAAATTGTTCATACAAAGCAAAGGTCAATTCGTAGTCGTCAGTTCATACACCGAAAAGTCAAAGAAATAAAAACCTATTTTTCAAAAAAAAAAATAGAAGAAAAAATCCAAAGCCCTTAAAAGCAAAATAAAACGGGAATCGATGCGTTACATTTTCAGCCCTAGCGCTTGTCTGAGGACTTTGTTGAGAAAAGCTCGCGCCTTCTTTGTTCAACTCCGCCACCACGTCGTTTCCGCCGCCGCCGCCGCCGCTGCAGCACTACCTTTCCCGATGGCTACGGAGACTCCTCTAAGGACCAAGGTTTGTATCATTGG